TGACAGTTTGCTTATTGTGCAAAGGGAGAAGTGGGAGTTCAATGTCTCTATTAACACCCACTGTAAGTGGTCATAACTGCATTACATCAACAAGACTCTCTAAGAGAAAGGGAAGTACGATGCAGTCAAGCGTATGTGCTTCGAAATGCTACTAGACATATATCCACAAGGCTACTTTTGTGCTGGTCTCCTACATATCATCATGATTTGTTGAATCACTGAGACAGATTCAATGGAACATGAGCTATGGTTTGCCATTGGCAAGAGCTAGGCGCATATATCAAAGCAAGAGTTCTACCTTATCACTGGATTGAAGTTTGGTCGAATGCCCGATGTGTTCACACGATCATACAAGGTTGTTGCAGACAGAATTCATGCGAGATACTGGAACTGGTAGTAGAGCGTTAAGCTACAGGCATTGCTTGATACTTTCGGTGGAGGCAACTTTCAGCGACTAAAAGACTTAACCAAGGTGGCACTTGTCTTAATCGCGAATAACATTTTATTTGGTCAAGACAACTATAGATGAGTGACGCCTTGGCTTTTGTCATTGGTGGAGGGCATTGATGCTTGGAATGTCTTCCTATAGGGTCATTATGTTTAGAGGCTGACCTTGGACTACCTTTTGAAGGGGTTCAAAGTGCCTACCTCAAACTTGCAAAAGGATATTTGTTTACGGTACAACATTTACGGATTTGCGTTGGTGACACAAGTACTGTCACGTAACATTTTTCATTTTCCTTTTGATATAATAATTTATGGTTGCACTTGTTTATCATTTACGATCTGATATTGGCTACATTTGACTTGCAGTTCTAGACAATGGAGGCAATTTTGACCTTACTAAAATTATTCATCTAACTTTGACTTCAGATATGAATTTTTTATGAATTTATTTTTAAGAAAAGGAGAATTCAAACTAAATTTTTGCCAAAATGTTAAATTAATTTACATATTCTACAATCAAATAATCAAGAAAAAATATTTATATATATTTTTCAACACCCTAAATATTTTACACTTAAATATTTGGCTTATTAATAAGCATATCACTAATAATACTCGAACAATATAGGGACTTCACAAGTTTATTCACTACTCAAAACTACGGACAAAATAAAATAAATAATCAAATAATATATCTACAAAATTAATATAAAAAATAATGACTCATCTACAAGAAGAAACTAACAAACATAAAATATGAATGAATGTAAAAAACTGCAAGAGGAAATTGTGAGAAAGGTATTGTACATGGCTCACACATTTAGTTAAGCCGACAAGCTGTCTTCATCCATAAGACACCTTACGTTTTCAGACATTGTCCTTCGTATTAGACAGTTGTTGCATGTGTGACCGGTTTGTCTGCAACTTGAATATGCTTTCGGTCATCGCACTCATGGAGGCATCAATTAAGTTGGAGATGGTGCCGGATTTATGGATGGAATTACAAATGGGGATGGACAATTTCGTCTATTATGCCCGTACCTCTTGCATTACGAATATCTTCGTGCTCGATTGCTTGCACCAGTCGATGGAATCCTTATCCTCCTAGGTCTTCCCACTTAGCCTTGCCAAGGTAGTGGCAACACAATAATTTGTTTCACATGAGGGAGGATGTCCCATTCACTATGATGCCTTATCGGGCAAATGAATCCCGCATAACCCTCCACCAAAACAATTGTCTTGTAGTAGTTTAGAATAGAATTCAACGACTTCACGTTGCATTTACTAAAAAATACAATGAACTCAATATTCAAGCACAATGTAAATGCTATGTCAATCAAGGTTCAAATAAGAAATAAAGATATTCTGACCTTATTGTTGCAATGGCATGGTTGCATGGTACTAAATCTGTTTGGAACTCACAACATGAACACACCTTCTTGGATAGGTTTACAGGTCCATCCATCTTCCCATCTTTAACTTCAAACTTCACTTGATTGAGAGGTTTAACTACAAAACGATATGCATCAATGAACTGTTTGCTCAACTACTTGGCAACCCAAAGGCTGAGAGGCGTGGTCACCTTGACGACCTCTTCGTACCGGTCATGGAACCAACGCTAGAACATGTCTTTAATGAACTCGATCAAAATAGTGATTGGCATTTGTTTTGCATGCTTCTAGCATGAGTTAACACATTCCGCAATGTTGGATGTTATGAGTTGGTATCACCTTGCTGGTGAATGTGCACGTGCCCATCTCTTAAGGCCTATTCTCATAAAATCAACGCGAGCTCCTTCGTGACTCTGCTTGAGCTAGTTCATATGTCTGTTGAAATCAAAAACCTTATAGCAATCTCGAGCAAGGGTGAAAATCATAGAAACGTCGTCATGCTTGAATTTGTTTTTAAAGTTTTTCTTCAATTGGTAACCTCATAAACCATGGTGTGCTTCTAGGTATGCATTTTGGATTGCTTTCTTAATGCCAAGATGCTGATTAGAAATGAACATAGTGTTTTAAGGACAACCAACCTCATAACGACCTTTACATGACCTTTTTACTCTTATCCTAAACTATTCTTTTAGAGCCAACATGTCAAAGCTCGTTTCAACTTTGCCTTCGAGGAAAATAGTCTTCCTTTATATAAGCGATGATCAGGACATGTCGACTCCTCAATGATAATGGTTTAGAAGGAGAACTTTTCTACACTTGAAATCACTCACATATGAGATATCCCTGTATTTCCCCTTTCTTGATAATTGTCATCGAGCAATGTATCAGGGGAACGAATCCTGTTTTCACTAGTGATGGGGTTATTGTATATGGAGCCATCACACTAAATATCTCCTACATCAACACCTCAAACAGATTCCGTTTGGCCTTTAACATTATTGCAAATTGGAATGTCATTGTCATAAAGCTAGTCATCGTCTGAACTGTCATCATGCCATTCATCAGGCCCATCATCTCAATTGTCATCAAATCTATCTTCACCGATAGGGAACAAATCCTCATTTCCCTCATCCGATGTAGTATTATCCTTGAGTGTCACCCTCCAACGTCGCTGTGTTGTCCTCAAGTGTCATATTCTCATTTGAAAATGCCATTACACCCTATATAATTTCGCCTGATCGTTGCATTTGTTGTACAAAAGCAAGTAATTGGTTCGATGCACATCCTGATAAAAATTGTGCAGCCAACTGTTCGATGAATGTCGTGTGTCTACCGAGCTGCACAAACTCTTGTGCATATGTCAATTGCCATTATTGTGTGTTATGGATCGAATGCTGTGGTGTGTGTGAAGCATTGTAAATCTCATTTTGATTAAGCTGATTACCATGTTGTTCAGCTTCTTCATGTGACAAAACATTTGTTTAACATCCCTTAATGTTGACATACACAACCGGAACATTCCTCTGTTCTAGCAGAATCAATGCAACATCCTCATCGTCCTTGATAATTGGGCGTGATAGCTCTCTAAGTGTACTGCTCAATGCATGTAACTCAATCTCGTCAATTTCTGAGTTTACCTTAACAACATCTTCAACTAGCTTCATCAAGCCCACAAACGATAAATCACTCCTAACCCCACATTTGTGACTCACTAGCTTTGTAAATGCCATTCACCCATTGACCACCATGTCTTATCCCAAGTCACACAATCGGAACCCCACTGAAGTTTTGAAAACATAAAATTTGTTAATCATTTTACACAATATATGCCGTGATCTAAATTTTGTCAGTCATGTTGTTATAAGTTATTTTTAAAAAATGTTACATGCCATATTTAAAAAAATGTTACACACTATATTCAAAAATGTTGCACGCAAGTTCAAAAATGTTACACGCAAGTTTAAAAATTGTTACACGCCATGTTCACTACATTTTACACGCTGTGTGCTAACACTAATTTGACTTAAGTATATTTTTTACATGCCATTTGCTTTATACTTGCATGGCGTGTAACAACTTTAGGCAATGTTTCTAATCCATGTTCTAATTTATACAAAAAGTTTTAGAAATTTATGTGTTGCGGCAATAAACCCAATAACATATCTTGATGTCATCTCTGTTATAGTGTCTGTTTATCGATGATAATATGGCCAAATGCCGAGAGATAGACCACAGCACAATGACGATGGTGCTCAACAGAAAGTTGACTGAGCTCATACAGTTCGTAGAGTTGAGAGAGTTGATGACGATTGTGCTTAACAAAGAGTTCATAGAGTTGATACAGTTTAGAGAGTTGCGAGAGAAAGATAAGTGAGCTCAAACAGCTGAACATTTATTTCTATTTTCTCTCTGACGGGATGGAGATATTGAGAGTTTCATTTGCCATGATGTTTTTAAAGGTATTTTTGTCTACTCATGCTTCTTTTCGACTAGAAACAGATAACTTTATATGAGTGGTTATTTCTGAAATCACCTTATATGGAGGCCTATTTCTCATAATTTGCTCTGTTTATAAAGTGTATATAATTAAATTCGGATTTAAGGTATACTAAAGATGATACCCAAAACTTACTTGAACCTGATTTGAGTATTAAAAACTTTACCACATCCACCCATGATTGAATATAATGTACTCAAACCTTATATTATCGAGTTGGATATTTAGATATTCATATAATAAAAACCTGTTTACATATTTATCATAAACTAAGGTTAGTTTATAAAAAAGAAATTTAAAATTTAAAATCATATTTATAATAATAAATAATAAATTTTAATAAATATTATATTAATAATAAATAAATTTATAAAATATATATATTAAAAATTAATATTTATAATTAAGTTTGAATAGTACATATCTTTAAATTATGACTCAAATTATACTAAAGCTTTGACAGGGCAATAATTTTTTTTTGAAATTAAAAAAAAAGATTTAAATATAAAATTATACACCATTCAATAAATTAAATACTCGAATATGATATATAATAATTTATTAATTAAAACATGAAAATAAAATATCTCAACTTTTTTAATAGGGTCAAATTCTACTCAGTTCCTACAAATAATAACAGCCTCAATCAAATACGAATAGTACGAGTTGTGTTTAGTGTACGAGTATTTGTCAACGAGAGACACGCCCACTACCCCAGGCTCCAGCGCCTTCTCTTTCTCTCTCTGACTCGGCTACCGCTGTCTCTCTGTGCAAACAAACTTTTAACAGATTTTCCATCTTTACATCCATTTGTTTGCTCGTTTTCTTTAAAAGTGTATGTTTAAACATCAGCTCTTCATCTCCTTACTTGCTGTATTGAATTAATGTATATCTGTCTCTAGATTTTATGGTTATTGGGTGTTTGAAATCAAGCCTCATTCGTTTGAAGTGGAGTTTTCTTTTCGTTTATGCTGGAGATTTGTATCATGGTTTTGAAGTTTTCAAGAAGGATTAATGTTTTGTCTCAAATGGTCGGACAGAACCCTGCCAGCCTAACGAGTCTTATGATTGAAGAAACAAGAACTGAAATCTTATCAAACTGACCAAGACTTGTTCTTTTTCCCCCCTTTTGGTGTGTGCTATGCTATGCTGTTCTTTGATTTCGATCTGGGAATAATTGGTAATCTCTGTGTGTGAATTACGTGGTGCTTCTAAAATCTTTCAGGTTGTTATGGCAGACAGCAATGTCTTTTCACGTGTGATTCATTCTATTCTACCCTTATTTGCAGACTGTCTAAGTCAACCGCTTGCATGAGCTATGTAACTCTTTTTCTCTTCACAAAGTTGGAATTGTTTGATAATGGCTTCAAGAGTCATCTTGCGAAGGAGGAGCTACATTTTCAGTTCCCCAATTCGACCCACTTCCCTGATTCGAGGCTTTTCTTGTTTTGAGCATAGCCTATCGTCTACATCTGATGACTCACGGGGGTCAGGCTGGCTGGCAAGCCATCCTTATCAGAATACTGATTCTAAGAAAGTGGTTTTACCTTCGGTTCCCAACAATGAGCTGTCATATTTTCTAGCAGCACAGTTTCATAGGAGTAACTCGTTTGGAATCTCAAACTTGGGTTATCAAGCTGGAAATTTAGATTTTGTTTCTCCATTGGGACTCCGATGGTTCTCACAATCTGCCCGTTCTGCTTCAACAGCCACTGCTGGTCAACCCCAATTGGGCAGTGGTAATGATGGAAGTGAACAACAGGCTCCTAAAAAGGTGAAGGAAGCTTCACCTGAGGAATGTGATCAAGCAGTTGAAGGTCTGAGCACAGTGAAAGCCAAAGCAAAAGCTAAGCAGGTACAGGACTCCCCCAAAAGTGCTCAATCAATAATCAAGAAATTATGGGCTGCAATTCTGGGCATTGGACCTGCTTTGAGAACTGTTGCTTCTATGAGCAGGTTTAAACTTCTCTATAGTATTTTTCCAGTTGAGCTGATGTAATTCCTCTGATACTTATTACTATTATTGTTGCTATCATTATTATTTTACCTTCTTCCAGGGAAGACTGGGCAAAGAAGCTTCGTCATTGGAAGGATGAATTTAAATCTACAATGCAACACTATTGGTTGGGTACAAAGTTACTTTGGGCTGATATTAGGATAAGCTCAAGGTTGTTGGTAAAACTTGCTAATGGGAAGGGTCTTTCTAGAAGGGAAAGGCAACAGCTTACTAGAACCACTGCTGATATTTTTAGGCTAGTTCCTTTTGCAGTCTTTATTATAGTACCATTTATGGAATTCTTGCTACCGGTATTTTTGAAATTATTTCCCAACATGTTGCCATCAACCTTCCAGGACAAGATGAAGGAACAGGTAATGTGTTGCCCTGAATTTCTCCCTTAATGAAGCATTTCTGTCACTTTAGTATCATTACTTATGGTATCTATGGCTTAGGAGAACAGCCAATTTATGCTAATCTAGTGTGGGTTTTATTTTTTATCGTCCCGATTGTTTATGCTAGGAAGGAATATTTTTATCAGTGTGGCTGTCTACCTTTTAGAATATTACTTTGTGAACTTCCTAATAGCAATCCATTAAAGTTGAGCAGCTTGATTTTTACACTTATATAAGTAAGAGTCTAGTCTCAGTTGAGATACTTAACCTATAGGAAGCATTAAAAAGACGGTTAAATGCAAGGATAGAATATGCAAAGTTTCTTCAAGATACAGTGAAAGAAATGGCAAAGGAAATCCAAAACTCACGGAGTGGAGATGTTAAAAAGACAGCAGAAGATCTTGATGAATTTATGAACAAGGTATTTTTTTTCTTTTTTGTATTTTCTTCCTGGTGTTGGTGGCAGTTTATGTGGTTTCTCTTATAAGAGAAAGATATTAATATGGTTCATTCTGGCATTTGAACAGGTTAGAACTGGTGCAGGTGTATCCAATGATGAAATTTTAGGCTTTGCCAAGTTATTTAATGATGAGCTTACTCTAGACAATATTAGCAGGTTGGGACTTCACTAATTGTTGTCTTGTTATGGAATTTCCCACAGTTCATCTCTTCATTGGGTGTGTAAATATCACTTGTATGTGTGTATGAGTTTCCTTCCCTCATATTCTATAGGAAAAGGAAAAGGAATAATGCCTGTCTGTCAGCTTATAGCTGCCTTAATCTATTGATGATTGTAGCTGTTTTCGTTTTTGGTTACAGGCCCCGTTTAGTGAATATGTGCAAATATATGGGTATCAGTCCATATGGTACAGATGCATATTTACGGTATATGCTTCGGAAAAGATTGCAAGAGTGAGGCTTTCTGCTTTTTTCTTTTCTTTTTCCTTTTGGGATGTGTGACAGGATGCTTAGCTGACAGAGTTTAAATTAAGTTTCCTTTATCCTGATCATTAATGCTTTATGATGTCATGGATGACGAGAATAATTACCCCATTTTATTTTTTGATAATTCATTGAAATTTTGTATTGTTTAAAACTGTATGTAATTGGTAGGATTAAGAATGATGATAAGATGATTCAAGCTGAGGGTGTGGAGTCCCTTTCAGAAGCAGAGCTTCGCCAAGCCTGCAGAGATCGAGGCTTACTTGGATTACTTTCAGTGGAGGAGATGAGGCAACAGGTTAGTGCTCAATTCTGTGGATCTTTTTTGTCAACTGAAAATTATGTTGCTTCAGTCAGAAGTTTATCTGAGAATTTTCAGGGCTATTATAAAGCCTGCCTAGTTTGGATTAGTATGAGGAGCTTGAAACAAAAGATTAACACCGTGGTTATGCTTCTTTTGCTAATTGTTAACACCAGTAGGATTTTATATGCATACGTACTACATAAAATTTCATTGCCTTAGAGGGAGTTTTTGATTAGAATATATGCTTGGGAACCTTATCTCTAATTTTCTATGTTGATTTACTAACAAGTTCCTCTCATTGGATGTTTAGGAAAGTGATGTCTTGTCCTGTTATTTAAATATTTATTTCCCTTTGCAGTTGCGTGATTGGCTGGATTTATCACTCAATCACTCAGTGCCCTCTTCTCTATTGATTCTCTCTAGGTACGTTTGCATTTTCACTTGTTTATGTTTGTTTAACACGTGACCACAAAATTTATTTTCCTTGTTGATTTCTACAGAGCATTCTCTGTGTCTGGAAAAGTCAGACCAGAGGAGGCTGTTCAAGCTACACTCTCCTCTCTGCCGGACGAGGTTGTAGATACTGTTGGGGTTACAGCTTTACCATCTGAAGATTCTGTTTCAGAAAGGAGGAGAAAGTTGGAATTCCTCGAAATGCAGGAAGAACTTATCAAGGTTTACTATGTCAATGCTTTACTTGATGTGGCAATCACTTAGGAAGAGGAAAAGGGTTGTTTGTTCCATGTTCAGGGTTTTTTTCTAGGCCATGACATCTATTATCCTTTATATGATTCTCACTTTCTGTGCTCTCTTATAAGATTCTGGTGAAAAGGAAAAAACATATATGTTGTATTAACTGAATTATCAGTTTACTAAGGTTGTATTCATGTAATAGAGGCTGATACCAAGTCATGTTACAATGGAACAGAGAGTGTATAAATCTCAAGGGTTTTTTATGCTTTATTGCCATTGCACCTACTTTGGGACTGGGATTTGGATTGGAGTGCTTATTTCCTCCTTTTGTTTCAAAGTGCAAGCTGATTTTGTTTTACTTTATATACATATGCATCTGTAGTGTTATTTGTATACCATTCGAGTTGCTAGATCAGGAGGTTTCAATTCTGTTGCATTCTGAGTGTGACCTTGTTGTTTTTATTTGAATAAATGAATGTATAGGAGGAGGAAGAGGAGGAGGAAGAGGAACAAGCAAAGTTAAAAGAATCTATTAGCAACGAAAAGGATGTGGCATTGGAAGAGATGGCTGCTTCCACAGCTAAAGAAGCACAAGAATTAGCAAAAGCAAAAACATTGGAGAAACACGAGCAGCTATGTGAGCTCAGCAGAGCATTAGCTGTTTTGGCTTCTGCATCTGTAAGGACTGACAGTAATAACACTTTTTATGTGTACCTTGTATTTGATGCTTCATACTGAGATTCTTGACTTTCTTTGCTGCTATGTTTTCAGTCAGTCAGCAGGGAGCGTGAAGAGTTCTTGAGACTGGTCAAGAAAGAGGTATTTATTGCAAAATAGTTCTGAAAAATAAAATTGATATTGTTTTTTTGAGTTTCCCTTCCTTTTATCAGGGGATTTGTTATTAATAGACCAATGAAAAACTTTCTACCCTATAGGTACTGGGCAATTAGTTGCACATGAAAGCCCACTAATAACGACTAAGAGCCTGCATGTGCAGGGCCCTATAGAATGGGCTAATGAGAGCTTAGGGAGGATACGGTGTTTATAAACTCAGCTCCCAGATGCAGGACTGGGAAGGGAAAGAGGGAGAAATAGGGATCAGTGTGCAAACTGATGGAAAAGGAAGGATAAGAACTTAGTGAGAAAGTAGAGGAAATGGAGCAGAAAGATAGAAGAGGGAGAGAAATCCAATTCTAATAGATCTCAATAATCCATAATTTTGAAGCTGTCAGAAACTGAAAATGACTTGAGTGCTTATAGGCTATTCCTTGAACCCTAAAGCACATATGGAACACAATAAATAACCATAGATGGACTAATAATTCTATAATTACTAAAATTACAACTGAATGCTTAAAATATAATTATTTAATCAAATAAAAGTTAGACTTGCAATCAACTTCTTTTTGTCCCATGTCCCCACTATTATTTTCCCATCCTATTTGAGATTTGGGAAAAAGAAAAATCTCTCTTTCCCACATTTCATACCTTATAGACCATCCACTTTATGCGTGCGTGAAAAAAAACAATTGTTGATAGTTTTTCTAAAACCTTAAGTAAATTTAAACCTATGTCACATTTATAGTTTGACAATATTATATTACAATTTAAAATAACTTGAAATATATTAAGACTTAAAGCAGGAACTTGTTTAGCAATTGGTCAGTTGTTGACTAGTACCCACATTAAATCATTAAAACATGATTTTGAGTTGCAAATTTTGTTTAACTATGAGTTTTCTTATTGTATGTCGCATGAACTTTTCAATGATATATGAAACTTATTTAGATTCAATTTTTATGAAAGGAAAGCAAAACCCAAAGTAAATAGCTCATAAAGTTCTCATTCAGTACTGAGCTTTTAACAAGTTTGTTTATGATCTGTTTGTCAAACGCTAACAAGCCAAATCTTTGACTAGTACCCACATTAAATCACTAAAACATGATTTTGATTTGCAAATTTTGTTTAACCATGAGTATTCTTATTGTATGTGGCATGAACTTTTCAATGATATATAAAACTTATTTAGATTCAATTTTTACGAAAGGAAAGCAAAACCCAAAGTAAATAGCTCATAAAGTTCTCATTCAATACCGAGCGTTTAACAAGTTTGTTTATGATCTGTTTGTCAAAAGCCTGCCTATCAATATAACAAGCCAAATCTTTGACGAGTACCCACATTAAATCAACAAAACATGATTTGATTTGCAAATTTTGTTTAACCATGAGTATTCTTATTGTATGTGGCATGAACTTTTCAATGATATATAAAACTTGTTTACACTCAATTTTTATGAAAGGAAAGCAAAATTCAAAGGAAACAACTCATAAAGTTTTTTTTCAGTACCAAGCTTTTAACAAGTTCGTTTACGAACTGTTTATCAAAAGCCTGCCTATAAATATAACAAGCCAAACTCACCTTTGACTTGTACCCATATGAAATCACCAAAACATGATTTTGAGTTGCAAATTTTGTTTAACCATGAGTTTTCTTATTGTATGTGGCATGAACTTTTCAACGATATATGAAACTTATTTAGATTCAATTTTTATGGATGGAAAGCAAAACTCAAGGTAAACAACTTATTCAGTACCAAGCTTTTAACAAGTTCGTTTATGAACTGTTTATCAAAAGCCTGCCTATCAATACAAGAAGCCAAACTCACCATTGTACAAAATTTGGTCCATGTAGTAAAGGAGCTTGAAAATTTTGTTCAAACTTGTTTCTTTAGTTTAACAATGAACACAAACACACTCTAATTAAAGCTCATTCTTAAGCTGTTCTATAAACAGACTTTGTTCACTTATAAAAATGTTACTATCCTATGTATAAAACTTTGACTATTGCCCATGCATCCTATATTGCCCTTGATATCCAAGATAATAATTACGAGTTTAAATCTACTGAATTCTCTTTCTATGTTCCTTTTAAGAATTTTCTGTTGATCCTTTTGTTTATTTTTCTCTTACCATTTTCAGATACAACTGTACAACAGTATGGTAGAAAAAGAGGGTACACAAGGTGAAGAAGAAGCTAAGAAGGCATACAAAGCTGCTCGGGAGGATAGCGACCGTACTGCTGAGAAGGCAATTGGTGACAAAGTATCCTCTGCCCTCATAGACAGGGTGATTATTTCTATAGAATCTGCACTTACACCAGTCTTCAACTTTAATCTTACTGTTGTTAATTTATTAGCTCTCTGTGTTGTTAATTGTAACATATGTTGTTTTAGACCTGGAAAGTGACATAATAACTTAACACAATGTTTCACATTTCAGGTTGATGCTATGCTCCAAAAGCTTGAAAAAGAAATTGATGATGTTGATGCCAAGATTGGGGACCATTGGCGGTTGCTTGATAGGTTTGTTCATTGCCATTCTGAAAAGATTGCATGTTTTGATTGTCGATACTATGTGAAATTGTGAATTTGCCGCAGCACCTTATCTGTGCATGTTTAACATGTGAATATACAACTATCATTAAGCTACCACATGTTTGAAATTTTTATTGAATCAATTGAGGATGTTGCTAAAATTGGAAAAGGAAAACAGAAGAATGAAAGAGAGAAAGGTCCAGCAAGAGATAATTGCCTGTCTGCCTTCCTCTTAGTCTCTTCTTGCAGCATATATCTTGAGTGCCCTAAGAAGTGCTTTTAAAGCAAGAGCAATGTTAATACCATAGCCTTTTAGCTGTACCGAACCAAGGTTGCTGAATATGAGAGTTGTCTCTATGGGTTAAATCCAAATGCTGGAAGATCAGCCAGATCTGGTTTGTCATTAGTAACAAAATAGAAAATCATAGAAATACTTAGTAAAGAACTCAGTCTAACCTCCTGCACCGGAGCATTTGGCTCATTGGTTGGTGCATAATCCCCTGCCTAAAGAGCAAGGTTTGAATCCCCCCCTCTCCCTATTATTAAAAAAAAAAAAAACCCTCAGTCTGACCTCCTGCTGTTTTGCAAGACCCTGGCTTATAACATGACAATATTCTAAACTTGGACATCTTACATATCCGAGTTTTGGACTTGTAACTTATAATGTCTTCATTGTTTTTTCTCCCTAGCTAATTCCTTTGTCTTTCAAGTGTTTCCTTGATTCATTGGTAAAAGCAATTCCCTATATCTGAACTTGGCGGGCATGCTTTCCAACCTTATTCAGTTGGCTTTCTTGTTCCACTTGGCCTTCATTTGTTGTGTGAATGAGTCCTTAGTAGACTAGCATTTAGGTAAGCTGCAGTAAGACACTGATCAAGCTACTACTTATGACTAGTTTTACCTACTTCTAACCAACGGCTTGGCCTAATCTCTGGTAAGCAACGGCCATTGTCACATTAAAGAAACCAGTTGAACAGAAAGTCCCATTTAGAAACTTTTATTAGCAGGCACTTTCTTCATGCTTTTCTCTTTGGGTCTTTGGTCCTGTTTAATGAAATGGTGAATTTAAGTTCGTCAAGTTTTAGTATTTTCGTCAAAAACAGCTTATTAGTAGAAGCAGATTTGATTTTGGTTGCCATGTTTTCACTTGTGAACACTTGTATGCACCTCTTTCCCCTGCAAGCAGCACTTGAATTCTAGCTGCCTCCAAAAGTTCTTTCTTGTAAAGATCTCTACTACCTGGAAGTGCTTTGAGCACAACTAATCTCTGAGGAAAGCACCTTAAATACTTAAAAAGTGCTTATGATGGATACAATATTACATCAAATGGGACCCTAATTTTTTCCCTACTTTCCTAAAACATTATACTTTGTTTTGTCACTATCATCAAATATCTTTCATTTTTACATGGAGAATGTGGATCCATGCTTGCATTCCTATTATAGTTGTTTTGTTCTTATTTTCACATAATAGATTGCTTTCTCATTGGAAGTATTTTGTCAAATCAATTATTTGTCCCATCTGTATGCCAGGGATTATGATGGTAAAGTAACTCCTGAGGAGGTTGCCTCTGCTGCTATGTACCTCAAGGACACATTAGGCAAGGAGGGTATTCAGGAGCTTATTAGCAACCTCTCCAAAGATAGAGGTGGGTTTATCTATTTATATATATATATTTTCAATTTTAAGCTTGTGGTATCAGTTCAACTAAAGGACTTAAAATTTTGGACATCTGGGAGCAAGCAAATAAATTCTTTTTGTTACAAAGGAAAATCAGGCCGCTGGGTGGGGGGAAGATAAAGACCCCCATGCCTGAGACAAAAATTCTTACCTTGTTGATGGTTGTTTCTATGTAGGACAAAGTGGAATTTTTCCATATATATATAGTTCATAACATCGTTGTTTATTCTTCTTTAATTCTCTTTATTTTGCTACTTTCTCTCAATTTCTTGCAACAGAAGGAAAAATACTTGTTGAAGATATCGTCAAATTAGGCAGTGAAACGGAAGATGCTGACACTGCTGAAGCAGGAAGATCATAGTGAGATGTACTGAATTTTTGTCGCTAAACCTTGTTCAAAGGGTCAGTAGTGCATCTATTACAACATTATTGTATTTTTAACTTTTAACTGAGGTAGCACTTGCCTTCTGTATATGCTATTATGATTTTATATCACCTACTACAAACTGAATATCACAAGGTGAGGACAAAGGAACCCTACATATTCTTTGCAGAAGGTTTTATAAAAGCACTTTTCGATGCTTAGAAATTTGTTATCTACAAAACAAAGTCAATGATACAAACCGCAGGGTGAGGCTACCTTTGCTTATTTTATCGATCTTGTATATAAATGTTTTATGAGAGTATTACACATCTCAGATCTTGAACGTTTCCTTTTAAGCTATGGAACCATATTTGGTGAGGTTTTGGTTCAATCTCTCTGTCTATTTACTTAAACTTTTAATTTTAGTTGTCAATGATACAAACCTCTAGATGAGGCTATCTTTTCTTATCTTATTGTTCTTGTATAGGAATGTCTGGCGAGAGTATTATACATCATTAGATCTTGAAAGTTTCCACTTAAAGATTTTGAGCAGCGTTTGTTGAGGTTTTAATTCAAATTTTTCTGTTTACTTAACTAAAATCTTAATTTTAATTATCAATGATAGATGAGCTCCCTTGTGTTATATTTTAATCAATAACTTTCAGAATTGTCACTCTTTCACACGCTATGGTTTACAATTCATCGAATAAAAGCTTTCATATGTACATAAATGTTTTGATTATGTATTAATTGATGGTTAAAGCTTTGTTTTGAAAATTTCGAATTCAAAACCACGAGATGAACATCATGAAATTTATAAGTAAGAGAATTATTTCTTATTAAGGTAATGTTGGATCAATTTAGGATGGTAGTGGATGTATTTATTCCACGAGGAATTCGGCCTAGAGAAATTAATTTTGCTTTTGTTAAAAAAAGAGAGGAGAGAGAATTATTAATAGCAATCAAGTATGTGAACGGTTTGTTATTTGATGGTCGTCACATCAAGGTTAAAAGAGCTGATAAAAAAAAGGAGAAACAAAGGCTTTGGCTCATGAGCGTCCCATTGTCTTGGTTAGGAATCATAGTAATTTTAAAGAAGCATTGATCGGTAATGGTGGGGGAAAAGGTGCTGTGCAAAAAGAGAATAAGATTGTGTTGAACGAGGAACTTGATAGTAAGCAAGGAGTTTTAGTTTTTATTTCGAAGTCTAATATGAAATGGTTGAATAAAAGTGCATTGGTACCCTTCGTGATGGTAAATTATTCAGTTTCGTTTAGAGGGGATTAGCGAGAGAACCGATAATTGCACAAGTTCGACTAGTACAAAGACTTAAAGTTCTTTTGATGTTCAATGATCAAGAGGAAATGGAGTTACTAGTTCTTAATTATTCGGAATGTTTTCAAATGTGGTTTGAAAAGGTTGTTCCATATGATAGTGTTACGATCCAATTCCGAGTCTATGATCGGGGTAAGAACCTATATGGGTATAGCCTACTTGACCCAAACAAGCCTTTAACTTATCATATATACACACATCATCAAAAACAATGGTACACTTGATCAAGTGTGCTATCACACACTATGGAAAATCGTCATCATAAAGTATGATTAAACCTTTCATTTAATCATCAAAATCCATATCACATACAATTTCATATTTCCTCTCATATAAACCTCATACGCATACTTCAGGTGCTCATATAGGCACTTGAGCCATCACATTCATTCACATGCAATAACCATATCAAGTATAATGGCAATCCATGGCTATGCACATAAAAGTGTTCAACATCATATAAACATAATAATAAAGACTTAACTCAATAGCACAGTAGAGTGTAACGACACTAGAGGCTTGAAAGAAAGCTCTACCATACCTATCAAGATTCAAGTTGTGAGACTCTTCCACAAGGTGAAAAGCCAAACGAGTTAAAACAAAACAAGTACATTTTTCGTGTTTGAATTATGAAACTCAGTGAACAGGCATGTGTAGGGGACAAGCCAAAGAAAAAGAGCTTTTGCATAAATCATAATTTTAATATAAACATGAATTTAGAGATAACCATCAATTTCCTTCCAAATATTTGAAATAATGTTGTTACAAGATCAATTCAAATGATTCTAATTGAAATCAAAGTCATGTGATGATTTGGATTATAAAGGGAGTTTAAAAACAAGTGAAAAGCCATTAAAAAGGGGAAAATAAGTTGTTTTGTACCTTAGGTATCGATAACTCCTTAAGGGGTATCAATACATTTCATCCAGAAGGCTCTTTGGATGCCAAATATCGACACCTTTCGGGGAAGAATAGATGTTTTTCACACAAAATGCCTCTTGATTGACACTTCATTCATGAAGTATTAGTACTTCATTCATAAAACCCAGAAAATTAAGCAACCTAGCAATATTCAATCCTAACTCCCTTTTTAACCTTAAGGGCAATCATATAGCATAATATTCTACTAGAATTCAACAAGATAACACCTTTGACTAATGAACAACACCTCATTCCAACTCATAAACTATAACTTAAACCATCCATCATGTTTACATTCCAATCATTGAGAATTCACTACAATAGACATATCACAAGGACAATGGTATGATCCCCATTATCTAAGACAATTTGTGGATAATGGTATGATCCCCGTTATCTAGGACATTTTGTGTGAATAATGGTACTGTCCCCATTATCTAGGACATTTCTTGGATGATGGTATAGTCCCCATTATAGAGGACATTTCTTGTGGATAATGGTATGGTCTCTACTATCTATATGAAACCTTAACTTCGAATTAAGGTTAGAAATGTAACCTAGCTTGGTGAACTATTGATTTAATGTTTTTATTTGTAATTTTTCAACATTTATACCTTGGAAAAGACATGTTTCATGAAATCATTAAGCCTATTTGAAATATAGGACCTAGAGAGGGTCACTTGGCCTTGTTTTAGACTTAAAATTGTATTATGTACCATAAGTATTGATACCTTTGAATGATGTATCAATATTTAAAAACTAGAAAGGCTTTTTGATAAACAAATATCAATACATCATTCAAAAGTACCGATACCTTTGTAAAGAAAGGAAAAGTATTGATACTTATATAAAAAATATCGATACTTGTGTGATAGATTAGAAAAATTAAGGGCAAAAAGGTCTTTTCATAATTTATTTTATACGTTAAACCCCTCCAAAACCCCCATATGTCTTTTAAACTTTCTCTTTATATTCTCAGCCTCTGTTTTTTCTTTACTCTCTGTTATCTCTCTTTCCCACTTTTGAACCATTTAAACTCAGATCTAAGTTCAGATTTTTGTTTTCAAGTCTCTTGAAGGTAAGATTTTAACATCCTAAACATTTAAGCACTAGGTTTTCATTATCAGATTCAATGGTTTTTTGCAAGCTCATTTCTCTCTCTAACTCTTTATGTTTTGGCTGATTTTGGATACCATAAGCTCACCAAGGTAAGCTTACTATGAACTTAGGTTGTTTGCATATATATGGTTAGAACAAAGATTTAGGTTCTATTTGAAAGATTAGGTGGAAAATATTAAGACTAGTTAAAGGAAAATAAATATTCCGGGATTTATGGAAAAATAAGTTTTTGATGTTGGATAAATATTTTAGGTACTGTTGGAAGCTTGATACTCGATTATGAACCAATTGGTGTTGGTTGGAAGAGTTAGAGGTGAGGTGTTCCTTCGATTTGTGAGTGCGCATGGCGTTTCAAATTCATTTTGATAATTATATTATTAAGCATGCTCCTATAATGTCCTAGGTAAAGGGGACTTGAGTACGATTCCATGGGTGGATACATCCTCGATTTGTTCATGCACAATGTTGGGTCTCTTAGCTAGTAAGAAGTTAGTACTAGTCATGTGGTTAGGATGTGATACATGTTTGTTATGAGCATACAAGCTCCAATGGTGTCATAGGTAGTGCAGACTGAACACTATTCCATGGGTTTAATCAACCTTGTTTTGTCTCTGATTATTTTAATATGGATCTACAAGGTTACATTGGGCTAAGTTGTGATTTAGAATCCTTCAAGGCCTTAATTTGATGAGAATTTAGACTTGGAAATTTAGTCTATTTGAAATTTGTATTATGAATGGATAGTTCTGTATTCGACTAAGTTCCATGGTTTACTTTGAATTTGTAGATTGATAGTTGAATGTATGGAATGGTTGGTTCCTTGGACTAAGGTCAAAATTGATGTTTTAATACATGAAATATGGAGATTTTGAGTCAAGTATCGATACTTTATGAATGAAATATTAATATATTACTAATAGGATGCCTTAGAAGGCATTTTGTATTGTAAGTATCAATACTTTCGAGAAAAGTATTGATACATGTAAGTAAGCATTCTATTTCAAAAGTATCGATACCTTTGGGCAAGGTTTTGATACCTATTGTATTATATATACAAGAATATGGCTCCTTTGAAGAGTTCATGAGTACCTATGACCTTATCACTTTAGATTAAGACTTTGGAACGCCTTCGAAGTTTATGATGCTATATGAATTGTATTGAATTCTCTTACATAATGTGATGTGATTCACATAATTTGATTTTTGTTTCTAAGATTATAGTAGAAAGATGGCTTGCTCGTTGCTGCCGGTTGTCGAGTAATCAAAATTCTTTAAATGAGAAAAGAAATATTGGAAAATAAATTTGAAGCAAAAGTATTGAATTTTTGTATTTTCTATCTTAGCTATTGACATGTTGATAGAAAATTTTGTATATTCTTTGATAATTGCAATCATGTAAAAATTATGTAAGTTATTGTGTAATTTATTATATAGCCAGCAATGAGTTCATTTATAACACTATATGTTACATGTAAGAAAACTTAAATTGGTACATCCATTGAAAATGCAAGTATTACATGTAAAATGGCAATTAGAAATGTATATTACATTATAGATAATATATGTAAAAAGTGATTTCATAAATAATAGTACTAAACAAATGTTTAAATTAAACGAACTTGTAATTGTTCATATGATCATTCGTCTATCAATTGTTCTTAAAACAAAGTTGGAAGAAGCAACTGGATATTTTAAGGCTTATTCTAGGCTGGTGATAGTTGTAACAAAATGAGAAAGTTGTTTATATAATGTGTAAGCAAAAAAAAAAAATTGTCCAAAAGATTAGAATAAGATGGCATGTAATGGTTTTGTACAAAATTTGGTTCTTGTTACATTGTAAGTTCATTTTTACGATAGACATGATTACACAGTGGAGCTATAAAAAACTTTCTCCAACTATGATAAAAATTACTTGCCTCCTTTTCAGCACCCTATTATTGTAGCCATCTTTCTTGCTGTAATTGCCTTGCATCTGTTGTTTATATAGCATAATAAATAGTGTT